TATATAGTATTCTCTTGGAGTAATCAGTACAGGATAAGAATATAAGAACACTGGACTCAAAATTGGAAGACTGGAAATCAGCTGTTGGCTGTATGACGATAGCAATACAAATTAGATCACTAAATCTCAGTTTAGGGGTGGGGTAAAATTCTTAGCTTAAATTAGCTATGATACCTCATATTAAAGAATTCTCCATTATGCTTTCATGGCTCAGACCTGACCAGAGACTCTGTTTATGCCAAGTTGAGATCTCCTGAGAGAAAACATCCAAAGGTTTTGTCATTATCCACTGATTGCTCCAAAATGGGTTATTCTGCCCACTAACCACTCACAAACTTTGATAACAAAGACTAACTGCTGCTTACAAATGCTCGTTTGATATTTAACTTGCTATTTTCTATTCAGGGCAAAATAACTATCTTGAAAATAGTTTTTAATTCTCAGCCACAGTGAATAGGAGATGCCAATCAAAAGTGGCACTCTCCATTCGTAATTGATTTGCTATTCATTGCTGCTTTATTAACATACCTCATTCTCCTTTCCCTTTAGGAAATAAATAATCTGAAAGCAGATAATGATGCCCTAAAGATCCAACTGAAATATGCACAGAAGAAAATAGAATCCCTCCAGCTTCAAAAAAGCAATCATGTCTTAGCTCAAATGGAGCAGGGTGACTGTTCTTAGCCCAGAAACTCAAGGAGCACAATCTGTAGATGAGTATATAGTGGAGATCTCATTTCCAAAAGTGACTGTAACACACAGACCTGAGGAACTTCAGACTGACCAGCTTTAAAACAGTACTTTAAAAGGAAAAGCCTCTGTTTATTTACCTAAAAGAATCCTAATGTGCAGCATTGTTTTCTCCTTCAGTCAGTTGACTCAAAGGGGGAAAACTAAAGAATACAAAACTTTTGCTATTCATACTGCTGACGTTTATCAAAAGTATGTGATCTAAAACATGACTGTCGTTTCCTGACGAGGGGGCATCTCAGTGGCCTGCCTGGCTGGTTCTTCCTTAAAACTAAAATCTCTGGAAAATGTATTTGCTTCCTACCCTCTGTTTTCTGTCAACAGACTTATTTTGTTCCAGCCAAAGCTTGCTTATAATAGAGAACTACCCATATCCCAAGAGTAGATTTCCTCTATATCCCAGCATACCTTGTAAACCCGGCCCCTTCTTCACTACCTCAGATCTAATCAATTAGCCTATGTACCCTCCTTCCTCACTACACTCATACACATGAGCATATCTACCTATGAGCGGATTTCTACCAATATAGCCAAAACATTTTAGAGGCCTATTAAACAAGACATTATCCAACTGCAGGTCAACTCATAGTTGTAGCCTTACAACTTACAGTCGTCATAAAATAAGTAGTCAAATTAGGTACCTGAAAACATAGCTATTACCATCTCATATTATTGGTTAATTAAAATAAACATAATGCAAACATGTTTGTCCTTATATATTATACAGTGGACAGAATTAGGAATTGATGGCTTTAAAATAAAAAAAGTCTATGAAGAGTCTAACTCTTCATGTTCCATCTTCTGAAGTAAACTATTTTGAAAGTCCTCTTTTTGAACTGAATTTGTGCTGAACTGTCTTCACTATTACTACTCTTTAGAAATAAGCTAATTGGATCAGTGGCTTAAATAATAGCTGACTGTGTGTACATATGTATATAATATGTATATACAATATCAGGCATGTATGTGGCTTGGAATTTTGTTTCCTCCATAAAATAATGTGGAAGTGAATTAAACAAGTTTTAGTCATTTATACAAAGTCACGAATATAAAGTTCAGTTTGTCACAAGATTAGACTGCTCACAAGGTAAAACTGTATTGTTTGGTAAAATCACAATCCTGTGAGTTTTCTATTATGAAGGTTAATAATAAATGGGCTCATTTAGTTGCTTAGGCAACTATTCACAAATTCCTTTGTCAGCCTCTTTTTAGTTCTCTTAAAAAAAAAAAAATCATACAATCATTTTCCTTTTTCAGGGTACTTGGTTTCCGTGCCTGAAAAGTCTGGTACCAGACTGACTTGAAATGCATAAACAAGCTGTCCAGTTGCCAAGAATATAATGTTAACAATTAAAAGTTCCAAACCTAAAGCCAAGAACACCACGTCTTCATAGGAATACAAAGTATGTATACAGCATTGCTTACCTGGAGGATTCAGATCATCTAAGAATTCTCTTTGATGAAAGACCAGTTCCCATTTGCGTTCCTCCTTGCACTGAGTTTTAGTGACATAGAACTAGGTTGTAGTTAGTGTTTCATTCCATTATAAAGAAACATTTTACACACATATTTGCCCTTTTCTAAATCTAAATTCAGAAATACCCAAAGCAGGCCTGCTTAGGCCCACAAACTGGCATGTAAACTTATAGTAACACTTTGTTACTTGCTTTTTATAGGACAAACATGAGTTAGGACAAACTCTAAAATTCATATTCTTCACTATTTTCCTTTGATACAGACCAAAGATGGAATACTTCAATTTTTTAAAACAGTCACAGAACACATTTTTTTTTTTCATTCTTCCTACTTTCCATCCAAAATAAAGATCCCCACTGAGTTTTTATATAAATAACCTATAATCTATAGGGATTCAAAAGGTTACAGCCCCTTTAGTCAAATTAGCAATGGCTAACAGTATCAAGTACTGCAGAATTTACCACTGAAATGGACAAGAGGAAACAGTTTCACCACAGGTCTTTACAGTCCAGCAAGGGCCAAAGAGGTATAGTATAGTATACAAGTTAACAATGTTTGTGTTGAGCAACATGGGGCTAGTGGGATCTACGGAAATAATCTGAAAAAAAGGTTTTGGTTTCTCAATCCTAGTAGAAATTTTTGCTTCTCACACTGACTTTAGTTTGGCCAGGTATTTATCTGCCAAAACAAGGACAAATCTTGTTTTACTAACAGCAGGGTCACTCCTCATTTTCTTTGCTGACTCACCTTTTACTGACCAGTTGTGAACTTCTGTCTAAAAATGTATAATACAGAACTGCAAGAAAAAAACAATTGTACATATATTGTAAAGTTTTTTTGATACCTAATGTAAGTTTTCTTTGTGTAATATTTATATGATAAAAGACATTAGGATCCCTACAACATAAATGTCTTGTGCTTCTTCTATTTCGTGACTATGTAAACACTTTACGTGAATTTTTACTATAATCCACAGCTAAGACCATTCCCTTATTCTGTTAATCAAACTGAGTTTTCCTGGAAGGAAAGGCAAAGCAGCTATTCAGTTTAAATTTTTCTAAATCTTTTTACAACACGAAGAAGTAACAGTATAGGAATATTAACCTCTTTCCATCTTATTCATAACTTACAGTGGTCACTAAATATTAAGTCTATAAATACTTAACATTAAAGGAGACAGAATTGAGGTTGTCAATTCTCTGTGGCTTTTAATTCCACTGTTCATCTAAGCAAACTAGCAAGTAAAGAAGAGAAACTTTGAAGCTATGGATAAAATTGGTAAACGATAGTTCAATCCAGGTAACAGACCCCCAAGAGGAATTTATTTGTGGTCATGATTATTTAGAGTGATCAGAGATAGCCACAATTTTCCCTTAATCCCCAGCTAAATTTTTGTTTAACCAAACCAATGAAGAGAGAGGAAAAAATTCAGTCACTCAGATTCCCCTGTGGAATGCATTCTAGAACATTTAGATGTGAGTGTATTTATCATTTGGACAGTTCATAATACTTCATACAAAGTAATGAAGTCATATGGACAACCTGGTCCTGAAGGAGAGATTAAACTGCCTGCTCACCTCCCCCAGTTTTCATCCCCCAATTTCTCTAACCTGTGCTCCCTCCAAGCTATAGATAGTATCACTGCTCAGGACATTTTTCTGGTCACAAACTTTTTTTTAGGTTGTTGTGCCTCCTTTTGTCACAAATACAGGTAATAAGATGTTTTTTATTTAAAATGTTTTCCCTTTTCTGTTTAATGAGGGAAAGTTTCCCTGATCTGCAAAACAAAAGTAAGTTAGTTCAAAGAAAACCCTTGTTTCCCTTTTGATGCGTGCTTATGAGTAATAGTGTGGTGATTATGTATAGACAGAATACATGCTCTTTATATGGTCCAGAGGAAAGGTCAGTGACAACTTTAATCCAGAAACTCCCAGTAAGATCGTGTCTATACATCCTAGTAGGTACTAGGCTAGACAAAGAAGAAAAAAGGGAAGGACAATGATGTAGTAAAAAATGAAACTGAGAACCAGGCAAAAAAAGAATGAAAAGGAGATATCAAAAAAGTGTTAGATTTTAGGAATCAGAAGAGTGCCATTCATCATACTCCATGTTGTATTGCACTCAATTTATAAAACATTTTCACACTATGGCCTTTCACATTAGGCCCCAAATCCCCTTCCTGCTATTCTAGATACTGCTCAGCAAACTGTTCTACAAAATAAATTTTTACTGAACAAATATGAAAATCCCACTTTACAGGAAAAAGTAAAATATTAGATTCTACGTGATTCAGCTTTTCATTCAATTAAGCTTTATAGGAATGTGTACCTATGAGTGGTTTCAGCTCCAACATGTTTCCAGGAGCAAGTGCTAAACTTTGATAAGAAATAAGTGACTGTAGTGAATAGCTCAAGAGGCACTCCTATAAAGGTACAAAGAAATCTTATTGAAAACCTTATGAAACTGATAAACTATTGTTTCTGTCATAGTTACCACAAATCTTTAGTGGCAAAAAAGTTGAAGTAATTGTAAATCCCCTTTATCAGAAACTAATGCTAGGAAAAAAAAAGGCAGAAATGTAAAGGTTTTAAATGCAGATTTTTAAACAAATAACTAGAAATATTTTACTCAAATAGCTTTTTCCTTATATAGTTTTTAAAAATTATTTTTCAGAGTTCATAACTATTGATAAAGGCATTTTCTTAATTATGGGAAACCTTTTAGCTATCACAAATGAAATTAAGTCTTTTCATTAAACATAAACACACAAAAAATAAATTTACAAATAACTAAAAAACTTTATATTTTCCTACCTTGAACACATTTCTTCAAAGGGTTAGCTTGAAAAATACATGTCTAAGATTACAGAATATTCAATATTTACTTTTAAGGTTTTAACATTATTTTAGATTTTACCACAGAGATAACCAAAACAACAACAACAACAAAAAACCTGCTAAACATCTAATACCACTTGTCCACTGGTAACAATTCAGCTTTCTATCACCTGAGTTGGTTAGATCACAGAAAGTTGTTATGCAGAGGTATTGACCAGAAGCCTACAATGAGATACAGATTTTACACTGAGATGGAAAACATTTATGTTACCAGCTCTTTTTCTTTAACTCTTTACACTAAGGAAAATGCATTACTTGGCCTACATCTTAAAGCATTCAAAATTGGCCCTCTGTAAGTTTTTAACAAATTGCATTTGTACTTAGGTCTTTATGAAACAACGTGATATGATGGTAAGTGTCTCATTCCTCATCTGACAAATGAGGACAAATCGCTCCTTGAGAACTAAGGTCATTTCAACCCACAGCACCCTAACCTAGTGCCACGATTCAAATTCACAACTCTTGATAACTAAGACTTTGTTCCAACTAGCAAACCACATATAGCCATTCCCTAACTTTGTGTTTCCCAAATCTAGCTGTGAATCAGAATTACCAACGGATGCCTTAGCCCTACCCTTGATCTATTGAAGCTGGAAATTACTGCCTTAATCCCGTGTGATACACGTCAGCCTGCCTTTTAATATTTGGATGTCTAAAGTGAGAATATAAATCATGAAGAGACCAGTTTATAGGACTATTTCTCACACCATCATGTAAAGTTGGTAGGTGTCTTTGCTCTGTTAAAGTATTTCTGACCTCAATCTTTAACTATGCTTTGTCAGTCAAACAAGATCATGAAGATTTCAAATCCAATTAGACAATAAATATGTATAGTGAAAAGTAAACTTGGGCTTCAATTAATGAAACTTTAACAGAAACATGGCTAGAGAGGAATCTCCTAAGAGAAAAAAATGATTCACAACAACTGCCTACTAAACACAACTGTAAGTGCCTTTCCCTATTTTGTAAAATCGAACGAAAAAATCCACAAAACACATGCACAGCAATACAGGTGAGGCAAGGGTCTATATTCCTTTCCATTACAGGTGGGTTCATTTAAGTCTCAAACCTGAACAAAATACAGGTAACAATCTAAATTCAATCATGACAATAAAATACTTTCCATTTTCCAAGTTTGATGGTAATAAATATTTACAGTTTAAAAAATAATTTTTGTTCTTTTTTGTTTTTTAAAAAGACACAACATGCTCAAGGGTACACAGAATATGGAAAAAGTCATCACTTCATTTGAGAGATCAACTGGTAGTAAAAAACATTGTTCTTACATATTAACCAATTCAAGAATGGTATCACCAGGAAGTCTAACATGGTGTTTACCTCAAAGATGATATTCAAGTATGTTATTTAGAACACTATGTCTAACATATCTATAAAGAAGCAAGCACTGCTATCTAGTTTTTGTAGTTTTTAGTATCTTCTATATCCACCCCCACCACCGCCACCACCACCACCTCCATATGGATCTCCATAGCCTCTTCCACCATAGCCCCCCCCTCCCCCACTACCCCCCCCCCCCCCCCCACCTCCACCTCCCCAGCCACCTCTTCCTCCCCCCCCACCACCACCACCTCTACCACCACCACCACCACCACCACCCCAACCACCCCTCCCACCGCCGCCTTCTTGTCTCTTTTGCCAAGGGGGCATTTCTGGGGGTGGTGGTTCAATTTCATTCGGCCGGCCTCCCCTGTCAGGCACTCTTCCCATCAGCACCTGTGTGAAGAAACATTTTCTTTTAGTTTCTAGTATTCTAAAAGTTAAAGTTTACATCAAAGTTTCAAGTTATATTATCCTTTCTAGTAAATAGAAGCCAATATTTAAGGACATCAAAGTATCAGACATGACAGTGCAAATTAATATTAAAAATATTAAGTGCGGAAGGATAAGGAGAAATTTGTTAAAGGATACAAAACGACGGCTAGATAGGAGGAATAAATGCTAGTGTTGTATACCATTGTATGATGACTGTAGTTAATATTTAGCTTCAAATAGCTAAAAGGAGGATATTGAACATTCCCAACACAAAGAGATGACAAATGTTTGAGATGAGGGATATGCCAATTATCCTGCCTGATAACTATACATTGTATGTATCAAAACATCACTGTGTACCTCATACATATGTACAATGTGTTTCAACTAAAAAAGTAATGTTACTTCCTGTTTACCAAGTCTGAAGAAAAATATGAAAAAATATGAAATATGTGTGATATATGACAAATTCCTTAGAATGTTATATTATTTCTAATCTGAGAGAGTATTTCTGAAACTTAAAGCCTTAATTTTTTATCACTTAAATCTGTTTAGCAAATTCTGTAACAAATGTAGTACTCACTTCACTAAGAAATTTTTTTTAGGAAAACATTTTTTATGTATGTAACGACATACCTTATATTCATTAACTTAATATCCATTTATACAATAACAACACTGGACTTTCTATTGCCATTGATTTGGTAATTGATTATCCAATAAAAGATTATATTCCTAAGCACATTTCATTTCAAAAACATATTAAGTATATATGATAACATGTGGCCTTAATGATGTCAAAGACTGATACAAAAACTGTAATTCCAGGTGTAACTACAAAGAGAGAGAAGGATTCTCAATGAACTACTTCTTTTAAGACACTTAAGCTCACGTACTTGCAGTGATGATACTACTACCATATTACTATAAGGAAAACAGAGTTGATGTAATTCATTTACTAATAAGCTTTACAATCCTTTCAAAAATAAACCAGGGAAGTTAAACTTAGTTTAAGTATCCAACCTTCTGTAGAAAGTAGGAGCTTTATATGACACAAGCAGAGGAAAGACAACAATAAGAAATGTATCATCTGCTCACCACAGACAAGGGGAAGTCAATAGCTTCCTGCGAGTGTCTTTCAGGAAAGAAAATAAAACAGCAACTGCCTCAACCAAAATGACCAATGAATTATACTTCCATTGATCCTCTAGTCAAAACCAAGTTTAGGAATTTATGGTACAAATGAAAGATAGAAAGTACAGTATCCTCAATGTGAGACAAGGCTCTAAGTATTCAACATTCTTTCAAAGATGGCAATGATGTCCTAATTACCAAATCCAAAAAACTGCTTTTCTTGGTTCTTATTCTCACTGGTTTCTCTACCAAACATGATATGTTGGTGGACATATGGAGATGCCAGAACTGATCGTAAGACTACCCTCAAATAATAGGACCATAAATTATAAACCCAGAAGAATGGCCAATGTTACTATATAAATAGAACTCTTGATCCAGCAAGACTAAATTATAACCCAATGCAAGATATTAGGTAATAGATTTAAAGAGAGAACAATTTCAGAAGACAGGGTTGAGCCACAGTGGTGCAAAGAGGCAAACACTAGTGATGCCTAACTTAGCAATAATTAGTAAAGTGACTTTAAAAACAACCATCTCTCTGAAAAGGTATCTTATCTCATGCTACACTGACTGAGAAGCGATGCTTTAAAATCATCCAAATCCCTTATTTCTGAATTTTTGCTATTTTGTAAAACATTTCCCATGGAGTGCTCTACCTAAATGAAGAGGACATACCAGTCAACCTGACATAAACATTCTAAATTAGTTTGTTGTTGTTACTGCTGTTGTCAAAAATTCAGACTCCTTGAGCTTAAGACTACTGTCAGAGAAGTGGATGTATACTCTGAATCAGGAAACAGAAGCTCAAAGAGGTTTAGTAACTTGCCCAGGGTCATTTCTGTAAGTAAATAACAGAGCTAGGATGGGAACCCAGATTGGTTTGACTCTAAAGCATAAACTCCTCTTCCCTTTACACCAAGGATCTAAGGAATCTGTCAGTACTTGAAACAATTCCTAAAGATTCTTACTGACAAAAACTGTTACTTTTTGGAAAGAAGGAAAATAATTCTTGCTACAGCTTCAACAAAAGCAATTCTTAATTCCTCTACTTCAGGCAATACTTTTATTTATGAATACACAAATTTAAGAGAACAAACACACACAGAAATAACCTACCTAAGCCTAGACTGAACCCCCTCTGCAACTTTTTTTCTAGGCATTTACCAGGACGTGAATGAAAAATAGATTAAAATCTGTAAAAGCATTAAATTGGATATTATCAATTCACTCTCCACTGTGCTGAAAGAAACACCAACCTTATTAATGGCACATGCAGTCTTCTCCCGGCTGGCACCACTACTTGTCCTAATGATCTTGGATAGATCTTCACGAGCAGCAAGTAGATGCGCCATTGTAATTGTTGTCTTGGGTGACAGAGCATAACGCTTAGGCTGATAAATTCTTGCTATATCATCTGTTTTTACCTAAATGACCAAAGTTAAAGAAAAAAGGAACGAAAGTAAAGTTTAATGAAAGAGCAGAAACAATCATAATCTTAGGAAAGAAACAGAGATAACATATAACCAAGGAAACAGAAAAGAGCAAAAAACACCCAAATATCTGATAATTTATGAATTATTTAGAACAAATAAAATAGAACAGATATTAAAAATATGTAACTACCAGCAACTTACTAAAAAATAACAACAAACAATTCTATTCATATTAACAAAAAATACCTAAAAAATGGTTCTACCAAAACCATACACAGGATGTTTAAAAGGGAAACATTAGTAAATCTTGCAAAAAAACAAAAAGAAACCTTGTCTAAATGGTCAGAAATACCAAGTTTCTGCATGGGGACACTAAGTATTACTGTCAGTTTTCCCCCAAATTTACTTACAATTCTAGAGAAATAGTTTTTGAGAGAAAAAAAAAAAAAAATCTAAATTTAAATCCAGAAACTCAATATGTAAGAATAAGTAACAGCATTTTGAAAAAAAATCCTACCAAATAGCAATATGAAATTATCATCATCTTAACAGTTAACATTTAATAAGCATTTATTAAATATGCCAGGATGCTGTTCACTTATTAAGGCATTATTTATTTAATCCTCAAAACATCCTTTTAGAGTGGTTTTATTATCCCTTTTGCAGATGGGGAAAAAAAAGTGAGGCATAAAAAGCTTAAGTTAGTTTCTCCAAAATATAGAGAGAATCCTAACTCTGCCTACTTACCAACAAAGGATTACGTGATCCCCAAGCACAGGTCTAGTATAGGTAACGGTGTGCTATTCTACCTCTATCTAACTAGAACTTGGGGAAAAAAAAAGACTGATGAAATAGTATATTGAGATTCAGGGCCTCAAAAATCTATGAAAGCAACCAATGATAAAGGAGACATCACAGATCAACAAGAAAAGGAAAGGATTATCTTTAAACGGTACTGAAATGAACTAGTGGCTATCTGTAATAACAAAAATATGGCACACCATATAACAAAGGGAATTCCAAAGAGAATAAAGAGTTTACTGTTTGAGGTTTAATTTTAAAACAAGTACATTATAAAAATTAAAATGTCTATGCTTCAAAAGATATAAAACAGAATCTAATGACAACTGGGGAGAATATTTTCAACAAATAAGTCAACCAGCAAACTTCCTTTATATAGAAAAAGCTCAAACAAAAGGAAAACAGAACTCTACAGGGAAAAAAAATGACAAGATATATAAATAGAAGGTTTTTAAAAAAAGGAAATTCAAATGACTAATAAGCTTATGAAAAAAGTACAACTTTGCCAATAGTAAGAACAGACAAAACAAGTTAGTCTTTTTAAGCATCAAGTTAACAAGAAAATGGATAATGCCCTAACTATTAAAGAGTCTAAGGTGGGACAAAATTTCATTTACCTTGCTGGTAGGAGTTTAAATTCCTATCAACTTAATGGAAAACATTTGGCCATGGGAAGTGAGAGCACTAAGAGACATAATCTTCAACACAGTAAATTTCCTTTAAAGAATCCACCATAAGATTTTACTTTGAAATTTATATAAAAAATTATACATAGAAACATGCCTGGTATTGTTAATACAGAAAAAAATCTATAAAATAAGAGAATTAAATTATTGAATCACTAAATGATAAAACATAATGCAGCCATAAGGATACCAAAAGAAATTTAGTACTGCTACATGCTGCAACATGGATGAACGCCGAAAACATTATGCTAACTGAAAGAAGCCAGATGCATAAGCCACATATTGTATGATTCCATTTATATGAAATGTCCAGAATAGGCAAATCCACAGAAACATAGAGTATATTATAGTAATGGTTGCTAAGGCATGGGGGTAGGGAGTATTGAGCATGACTGCCGAGGGGTAGGTATGTCCTTTTGGGAAATGTTATGGAATTACATATAGGGTTATATAACACAGTGAAGAGACAAAGAAACCACTGAATTGTACACTTTAAAGAGTGGGCCTAGAAAGTAGTGAAGCGGCCAAGGATAGCCATACAAACAGCCCAAATTGCAATAAGTGGTACAAGTTTCTGAGAGAAAAAGTATACAGAAAATGAAGAACTCATTAGAAGACCTAATTTTTCAAAGTATAGTTTTTTTGAAAAAGCATTTTATCATATTGCAGAAATGCAATGCAAGAAAAAATAAAATTCATTGAGAAACCTCTATGTAGGTCAACTAGCCCTCCAAAGATGTCTACATCCCAATTCCTGGAACTCTTGAATGTTACCTTGTGGATGCAGGTGTGATTAAGTTAAACATCTTGAGATGGAGAGATTATTCTTATTATCTTTGTGGGCCTAATATAATCATGAGGATCCTCATAACAGAGAGACAGGAGTGCCAGGGACAGGATAAGGCAATGTAACAATGGAAGCAGAGAGAGACAGTGAGAAAGGCTGGAAGATTCGACTGGGCTACTGGCTCTGAAAAGAGAAGATGAAGCCAAGAGCTAAACTATGCAGGTGGCATTTAGAAGCCAGGAAATGCAAGGAAACAGATTCTGCCCTAAAGCATCCAGGAAGAATGCAACCCTGCCAATACCTTCACTTTAGGACTGCCAATCTCCAAATTTGAAGAGAATAAAACTGTATTACTTAAGCTACTAAATTTGTGATAAACTTTCACGGCAGCCATAGGAAACTAATATATCACATGGAAAGAGACACCATGTGAAAGACAAGAAGGTAACAGAAGTAACACAGCAGAGAGTTAGCCCCAAAAACCCTTGTGAGACAGCCATCTTGGATGTTTCAGTACACCCCAGGGACCAGCTGAATAAAGCTACATAAGTAAAGAGTCCTCAACCCCCAGGCCGCAGACTACTGGTCCACTAGGAACTGGGCCACACAGCAGGAAGTGAGCAGTGGTAAAGGAACACTGCCGCCTGAGCTCCATCTCCTGTCAGATCAATCTTTAGGAGAAGCTGATGCCAGATGATCTGAGGTGGAACAGTTTCATGCCAAAACCATCCCCCTGCCTCCCCACCCTTTATGGAAAAACTGTCTTCCATGAAACCAGTCCCTGGGGCCAAAAAGGTTGAGGACTGCTGGCATAAGTGACCACAACTGATCTAACATGGGGCAGAAGATCTAACTGGGGAAGAAGGACATAATCCAAAATATGTAAAAATAATACCTGAAATTCCACATGTAGTCAAGTAGAGTAACAGACACCAGATTTACTCTCCCACCTGAAATAACTAAAAAACTGGGGAATCCATGTGATGTGAACCAATGATGGTCAGACAGTGGACACCAAGGAACATAGAACAATGATCCCTGAATGAGGAGAAGCCATATAACTATCTCAGCTTACTGCCTGGAGAGTTTGCAGGGTGGGGAGATGCAGGGTGGGGAAAGCAGGGGTGAGGAGTGATCCCAGACAAGGCAATGGATACAGATTAAAGGCATAAAATGGGAGTGATGGGAGACAGCTCTTTAGAAAGCTATCTGAAGAGATTCATATTTGGAAATGCCCTCACCTCCCAACCCCCTCTTCAACTGAAACACATTCCACATTCATTCAGCCTTAAGATACTTTAAAGACCTGTTGGCATCAGTATTACCTGTACCTATCCCTCCTGCTTTCTTGTTATGTTGCTCACTATATCTATCTCATTATCTCATATGATGCCCCTTCTTTTATACAGATTCTGGGAAATATCAAAATAAATGTCAAATGTGGGGAAGAATTAAGTTATATCCAACAGGCATTTATACAAGACCAGGATCATCTTATAGGACCAGTAGTTGGCCTGGGCATGTGGTTGATGAAGTGCAAATGTGGCATGGTTACATAAACAGACAAGCATGCCAGAAGAGCTGTTATAGGCTACCACCTACAGGACACATATGGGAAAACAGCTTTACCTTTGCTCTATCAGACCATCCAAATGACTGGACTGTCACGTCTAATCGTTTCATTAACATTCGCCGGCGGCACTCATATTCACAGCAGAGAGCTTCATTGATTCTTTCCAGTTGTTCCTAAAAAATGTGAAAGCAAAAATTATTAACTTTAGATTCTTTCACTCTGCAAAGAAAAGAAATCTGAAAACTGTGCTAAGTACTTCCTACTGAGTCAAAAGATATTGTACTTACTGACCATTTTCTGTTCCCATGAGACTTTATGGTAAACGATTTAAATACTAAAGCATAATTGAAAGCACATTTATGATATCCAGAAGACATTACACATACAAATTAAACTCTACCTATTGGTAGAGTATACATTATCTGTAATCAAACATGAAACATGATAAAGTAAAACATTTACCTGCTAAGCAGTCTGGACCAATAAGTAAAGAAAATACCAGTAACTCATCTTGCTGGCTTTGTGCCTCTGTTCTTTTCAAATCACATTTGTTCTATAGTGCTAGAACATTGAGCACTATAAATATTCTGGGCCAGGTATTTTTAAAAGTTACTTAATAATTTAACCGAAGAAATGTTAGGACATATACTCCAGAATATCAATCCATTTTAATTCTACAAAATAATGTATGCATGCTACGTATTGCAAAATAGATATTCATTTATAAAATTAAGTCATATTCACTAATTTAATTACAAAAAACTAATAACAAAAAGGAGAATTTACCGCCTGTTCCGATTTTAAATCAATTTTCAGCAGTGGTTTTCCCACATGATTTTTCTGGACTTTTGAGAGAATATCTTTCACCTAAAAGTAAATACAAAAGATGGTAAAAAATGTATATTCCTAATTTAAAACAATCTTATTTTGGCTTAAAGTATTGCTCAGAACATTACGGAATAAAATATTAAAGTGAAATAATTAAAACATACCATCACACAGAACAATACCACTACATTACAGAATATCTACTTTAAAAAAGCACATTGTATTCATTCAAGCTATAGAACACATTCTTTCCCAGCATAAGAAAGAATATACACAAACAACTAAAGGATTACCTATTAAAAGGTTCTACTATGAGAATCTGTTAGTGAAATAACTTTGGAGTTCCTACTTAAGAGATAGCACTTTCTTACTTCCTAGTAAATTTTCAAAAAAGTTACTAAAACCTTTGACCAGCACATTGATTTTTCTCAAATAAATGCTATGTACACATTCCAGTTCTAAGTATTCTCATTACATTGTTCAGCAAGAAAACACATGGGACAAGCCATCTCTCTCAATTATAGCCATCACATATATATTTTCATTACTTTTGCAAAGCCCCTAATTTAAATTACTTGAAACATTTTTATTTTGGTAAACAAGATATTAGGCACTGACTTTTCCTTTAGCAGTATCAGGGGTCATTCAGTAATTTATCCTACTAACGACAGGATTAATTCACCTTCCTAACTGGAGAATCCATCATTAGCTAAAGGAAATATTTACAAAACCAAACGAAATATTTACAGTTTCTTAGTTTTAAGGTAACCAGAGGAAACAATCTAGAGCAGTTCAGATGTTGAGGGGCATGAAGCTTATTTAGTATCAGAAGAACTCTTTAAGGAAAGAATTCAAAATCAGACTGGAAGCAGGGGTTGTAATGTGGAGTAATGTAAATGGGCACAGTTGAGGTTTCTTCTGAGGGTGATGGAAACGCTCTAAATCCGAGTTTGGTGATGGCTGTTCAACTCTGTAAATGCAATAAAATTCACTGAACTATATAAATAAACTTAAAATGGGCGAATTTTATGGTATAATTACATTTCAAAAATGGTGTTTTTAAAAAGCTTAGAAAGAACCTGTGCAAATAAGAGACCCCGAACTTCAGCTTCAGTAGCTTCACAGCAAATCTACCTCTACCATGATACAATTTCTATACTGATATAATTTGTACATATTTTAAAGAAATTATTATTTTCTTAAAAGGGACCATTTCTGTAGATTCTCCAACTATGGTAAATATCTCTAATTTTAGTTTTTTTTCATACATTATAAGAAGTATGAGTTGTAACTCCTCACTCCAGAGGAATTCTGAATGTATACTTGTAGTTTGTTATGTGTAATCACATTCGGCTCCATTCCTAGGATTCAACATTACATAATAGTCTTAATAAATTTGAAAATTACTTGTTATAGAATAAGTTAAAGGCACAGGCTCTGGAGTTGGACTACCTGGGTTTAAACTTCAGGCCTACCACTATTTAGAAACTTGCTTGTTTAACTTATATCCTTCAGTACCTCAGCTTCCTCGCAGGGTTGTTGTAGGTAATACAACACGGGGTGGTCTAATACCCATAACCATAAGTGAAGTGAGAATTGAGTTATTACATGTAAACATTCAGAATCACCTCACATGGGTGATGTGAGAATTAAGTGAGTAATTACATGTAAACATTTAGAATAGTGAATGCTATACATTTGCTGTTATTATACCACCACTATATATTTCTTGTAACTATACCATTATAATTACACATCTGAACAACTTTAAGTTGGAAAATAATACTTTCCTTCCCCCCAACAAATCACATGTAGAAGAAAGAAAACATGAAAATTTTTATTTTTGATAAAAACTGAGTAGAGTAGGAAGACCTTTTAGGTGAATCTTTGGCCAAGATGGCCACAGTAACAACTACCTTATAATCAGTATGCCAGTATTTGAACCTAGGCATTATAGCCTGCTTCAAATAGGGAAAAGAGGTATTTGAGAATGTTGTTAATACTAAATAAAAACCATAAAAGGGAAAAGCCTCTTTGGGAAGCACTAGAAAATTATAAACTCAGAAATCTATCTCAATTTGAAATAGTCCCAGAAAATATAGCCAACCCCAGATTAGTCTTCATCCAGAGAAAAACAGAAAAAAAGTTCTGAAGAGTAACTTGTTAACTCTGTAAGAAAGTTTTTGAACTGAGATTCACAGACTTACTCTCTGGTTTGCAAGTTCTACCAAAAAAATTTTTTTTAATATTCTGTTTTTGTCTTAGTAATACTATAATTCTCTTACATTCATTAAGACAAACCTTATTTTTCATTTCATAAATTATCAATGCAAAAGAGATCTTTACTGAACAAGGATTTATTTTAAGGCACTGTGTCTAAAAATGGAGTTAGGTACTTATTCTTGAAGGTTAGGCAAAAATTTTCTTTTCCTTTAAAATGAATCCTGTATTTATTCCACTAGGGGCCTACATATTTAACAAATGAAACCCAGGAACTAGGCCAGAATATGGTCTGTGAGGGTAGCATCTTCTCTAATATATGGCTTGACTGGGAACAAGAGTTGTTTAGTAACTGGAAAAAAAAAAATACAGGAGCCATAAGATACATAGTTTGTTGTTGTTGTTGTTAACTAACCCATCAGGGTACTAATTAATTCACTCTTCCATTCATTATATAATGCACTTACTCTGACTAAACATTTATATACCAAAAACTGTGCATGCTCATTGCCAAAGAAACCACACTGCAATTCTATTAACATCCATTTCTTAAAAAGTTTAGTTGCCTGTGACTTTGTAGGTAACTCTCTTTACCTCTTTCTTTCCTTTCCTTTTCTTTACCTTTCTTTTTTTTCTTTTTCTTCCCTCTCTCCCTCTTTCCTCCCTTTCCCTCCTTTCCTTTCCCTCACTCCCTTCCTTCCCCTCCTTCCCTCTCAGTCTCTCCCACTCCCTCTTTCTCTTTCTTTCTTTCCCTTTCTCTCTCTCTCTCTTTCTCTCTTTCTTTTCTCTACATTACATCCTTGGTTAGGAAAGTCACGATTATATTTGCTAAGTGATTTCTATCATGGCAAACTCTGGCACAGCTAAGGGCAGTAACTTATTAAGATTTGATTCCTGAATGTTAGCCATTGACCAATTAGGTCACATGCCTATTAAGTCCAAATCCAAAATCTGGTTTACATGAAGATAAACTTTTGAAATAAAATGTATATCTTAAAATTAAAGGGAACAGTTTCATTTTTAATATAGCACTTACATGTTAGCATTCAGTTGAATTTGGGGAAAATAAAAAAACCAAACAAACATAATACCTTTGATTCCACTTGGCTCAGCATAAGCGGAATGTCAGAAGTTGTTGACTTGGGTATACCAAGTATATCAAACATAGCTTGAACTTCCTGATAAATTTCACTATTTTTATCTAATTGAGAATTTTTATGTTTCTTGTTCTGTAATATCTGTGAAGCTTGAAGTTCTGTACTTAAAAATACTACAATGAAAAAGAGAAAATAAATGTTAATACATGCACAAGAATCTCTTAAGGTATTTAACTGAAATTATTTATTCACTTAAAGTGAGTATCAATTAATACCAATAATGCCTAGCTTCAAAGAGTATAAAATCCAGTAGTTGAGACCCACCAGCAAATCAACAATTTAAGAACAGATAAGAATGCGTAAGATGCTGATAAATTATCTGTCTTATATGTACAGAGCAGGCTGGTCAGAGAAGAATATATAGCTCTAACTGATCTATAAGCACAAAGGGCAATTTGAGTCAGGATAAACCACTCCAAATATTTACAAGTCCCTTTACTTTCACCATTACATCTAGTCCTTTCAATAGCCATATTTAAGAAAATTACTCAAAAATCTTAAATGGTTATAGTCTTGTTTTAAAGTGACTCTTCACTACAGTAGTTAAGACTTTTGTTTTGGGCTGGGCGCATTGGTTCACCCCTGTAATCCCAGCACTTTGGGAAGCCAAGGCAGGCAGATCACCTGCAGTCAGGAGTTTGAGACCAGCCTGGCCAACATGGCAAAACCCCAACTCTGTTAAAAGTACAAAAATTAGCCAGGTGTGGTGGCATGCGCCTGTAGTGCCAGCTACTAGGGAAGCTGAGGGAGAAGAATTGCTCGAACCCGGGAGGTGAAGGTTGCAGTGAGCTGAGATCATGTCACTGCACTCCAGCCTGAGCAACAGAGCAAGATTCCATCTTGCGGGGGTCGGGTGGTGGGGGGGGACTTTGTTTTTATTTGTTTGGTTAAAATTAGACATAAACACCACAATTTAATATAGAAGTTTTAACTTCAGCTGAGCAGAAAATACATCTGAAAAACAATTTAAAAGTACAGGTATCAGAGTCCCATCCTCTGAGATTCTGAACAGTAGATCTAGAAGCAGCAGTTGGGAATCTGTGTGTGGTGTGTTTTAGACTCAATGTGATGGTCAAGGTCAGGCAAGATTGAGAGCCACTGCTTTAAAGACTTCTCCAAGCAGTCTACACACAACAGTTTAGAGAGTCAAGTACCAAAATATTAAGACCAATTATTAAACTTTAAGACCAATATTAAGCTCTACTTATGAGGGCTATACTAAGGTCCCTCTGACTTAAAAACTTCATTAAGACCAAGTGTGGTGGCTCAGGCCTGTAATCCTGGTATTTTGGGAGGCTAAGGTGAGAGAACAGCTTGAGCCCAGGAGTTTAAGACCTACCTGGGCAACAAAGACCCCATCTTTACAAAATGTTTTTTAAAATTAGCTAGGCATAGTGGTGCATGCCTGCAGTCCCAGCTACACAGGCTAAAGTGAGGGGTTCACTTGAGCTCCAGAGTTTGAGGGGGTGCAGTGAGCTATAATCACACCATTGTACTCCAACCTGGGTGACACAGTGAGACTCTGTCTCAAAATAAAATAAAATAATAAAAACTTCATTAAAACACATTACCAGTTTTTCAAAAATTTGTATTTTAGACAGAACCTTGGGTGAAGTCTCCCTTCACTTCCATGGAAATCTAACTTCTCTATGTAATAGCACAAATAAGCATTTAGTATTTACAATGCTAATCCATGCAGATGGTAAGCAGTACAGGGAAAAGTAAGCCTTCTTCCTTTTGCAGATCCTTAGATTTCTCCCTCCCCAGAGGCAATTACCATTAATTTCTTGGGTATTCTTTTAGGAGTGTGAGCGTGTGTGTGTGTGTGTGTGTGTGTGAGCGAGTGTGTGTGTGTGTGTATTCAGTATATACATTCACCATCTACGCATTTTTGTTGATTTTATATAAACAAGAACATGCTATACATGTTCTGTATATTTATTTTGTATTTACCAACATCTCTTAGAGATCATTCCATATTGACACATTTGATTTATTTGCATTCTTCCTACTATCTCTCTTGTGATATCACTGCATTAATGTACCATTTCTATTTATCTATATTTATGGACACTCTGGTTTCTGGTTTTTTGCTACTACCATGTCATAATGAACATGCTTTTCACATGTCTTTGTACATTTGGGGAAACAGATATAAATTCATAGACAAAGAACTGCCAAATCAAAAGAACCGCCAAGTCAAAAGGCCATGTGAATATTAATGAGACATTGAAAACGTGTCCTCCTAAGGGGCTCTACAGGTTATTTTCCCACCACAGTCTAATGTCTGTAGTACACAAAAAGGCTTACTCCCCCAAATTTCTATTATGATTTTTCAAGTGAAAAATGGTATCCTGTTATGAGTGATATTGTGCATCTTTTCATGCTTAGAAGCAGTTAAAAATTTTTTTCCGTAGAATGCATATTTATGTGTTTTATACATTTTCCCAGTGAATTTTTATCTTTTTCCTCTTGATTTATAAAAGCTCTTTACATATTATGGAATTTGGCCCTTTTTATTTTATACATGTTGCAAACACTTTCAAAAAGAACACAAAGAAGCTTATTATGTCAATATGATTCAAACAGTCAACTGAAGAAAGAATAGATGCTGTTAAGACTGTGAATTGGTATAACCTTTCTGGAACAAAATATGGCAATATACATCTAGATCAGAGACTATTTTAAATGTTCACAATCTTTGTCTAAGTAACCAAAAATACAAACAAGGAAATCATTTTAAAATAGAGAGAAATACAAATTTGAAATCTGTTAACAAACATAAAGTTATTTGAATAGAACAGTAGCCAATTTATGTTTTCAAAAAATATTAAGTGATAGGAAAATAAAGAGGAAAACAATATATTAAATGAAGACGAGGAGGAGAAGAATCTGTAACAGGATCTTAATCTTATTTAAGAGTGATTGAGAGTGTGAGAGTGTGTGTGTTTCTGTTTGTGTACATAGAAAGACAAAGGAAATAAACCAATATCCTCTCTGGGGAGTGAAATTATAAATGTATTTCTTCTTTATACTTTATGTATTATCTAAGATTTCCATAATAAGCATGTAATTTTTGAACATATAAAATTTACCATTTTAATCATGTTTTAAGTAGACATCATCATCCACCTCCAGAACTTTTTCATCTTCCCCACTGAAACTCTGTACCCATTAAACACTAACTCCTCAGCACTGCCCTCTGGGCACGTATTTTTAAAATCAGAAAGAACAATATACTTCTCTTAAATCTCTTCTTTATTCCTACTTGTAACAGAAACCAGTTATCACTGCAATTACTGAGCTTCTTAGCAGCTAAGGAAAAAAGGGAACCATGATAGATTTCATAATTCTCATTAACTGACATTAAGAATATCCAAGTTCCTCTAGTTAGCGCTTCTTAGGTTCCTTTCTGTCCCAATATACCTAGGAGTTACTGTGACCTCTGATTAACAGTGGTTCATTAAATCAGTGACTCACACCAAATGGGAGGAAGATGGAGAACAGTATAGTGGGAGGGAGGGAGAGGGCACATAACTTCTATTCCTCCTCAACACACAAGACAATTTCAATGCCAATACTTCTATCACCACTAAACATGCACATACACACACACACACACACACACACACACACAATTTCATCTCTAATGAAACAAACTTTACTAACGCTAGTGCCTAGGAGGAATATATCACCTGTAATCTTTTTATAAATGGTATAATCTGAAATAGAAATCTTTCATAATAAAAGGTATTAGAAAAATTCTTACAAATGGTCATTCTTTATAGAAATTTAAAAAATTATAAAATTAAGCTAAAGTAAAACAATGTTGAAAGGATGCAATACAAACATGGATGTATACTCCAAATCCCTCCCTGATAAAACTAGGTACATTTAAAGTATCTTAAAGGCACAAATTTTATCTTTAAAAAAAAAAAAAAAAAAAAAACCCTCATATATTCCTAGAGCAGTTCCTGGTATAAGAGTAAGTGATCAATAAATATTTTTAAACAAATTATCATCCAGTGCCTAGTTTCAGAGAGTTTTAAGATTAAATAGGACTTTGGAGATTATCAACTTTAGCCATATAGTCATGAATAATAGCAGACAGACTAAGATAAAGAAAAAATTACTAAAGTACTATATAAATCACAAACACAGGACATTCTACATTGGCCAAATAAATCACAAATGTTAGAAGGTATTGCTGGTAGAATGTATACTGTATTATATGAACATTTCTGAGACAGCTTTGTATTTTAAATATTAAAACCTTTTTAATATACAAAATATCTAATGCTTCATTAATAAATCTTGACTTGAAAATAATAAAAACCAGATCAAACACATGCATTTAAATGTTCAAGATAACTTACATAGAAGCTTCAAACAGTCTTCCTTCTTTTTTAAACGATCTTTAATGTCTCCCGATATGAGTACAGAATATGGACATGCCATTTCTTTTAAAAAGCCACTTATCTCAAGCTGGAAGCTCTCTAGATCATCTCTTCCTTTAAAAAAGAAAAATTACAAAACATTTACTGAGCATTTATCATATAATCCAATACTATAAAATCTACTTGTTTATTTCCACTTTACAGTCAATTCTAAATTTTCACATTAAATCCTTAAATGTGTGATCATGAAGCTTATTTTAACAACTAAAATAGTAAAAGCATTATTATGGCTATAATTATTAATTCACTTCAGAACCAATGATCCCTTTTTACTGTATTTCTATATACTCAGAAAATAAATGCAACCATCTAATTAACCCTCAGTGTTTATCTTTATTTCATAATACAATTATGTAGGCACTTGTATTTTGTGTTTAGAATTCAAATTATTTTACTTTGCATCAAGTGAACTGTTAAAAAACAATAGAAAAAGGATAAGCTGGGTGTGGCAGCCCGCACCTGAAGTTTCAACTATTTAGGATGGTGGAGTAAGAGAATTGCTTGAGCCCATTCAAGTCCAGTCTGGGCAACACAGCAAGACCCCCATCTCTAAAGAAAAAAATATTATCTTTCAAAGAAAAAGCTACTTTGACCCCTAGTGAATGCACAATAATTTTTACTTTTTCCTTTTATTATACTATTAATATCTGAAATTCTTCCGAAGACCCACAGGACTCCAGTTACTAAGATGGCGATGAATTAAAGAAGCTTTATGAGCTAGTACAGAAGTTTTTAACAGAAGTATTCCTATGTGAATCCATATCCTCCTGAGCTACAAGCTTCAGAACACAATTTAAATTAGGAATTACACACACATATGTATAATATTTTAAGCCTTAATTCAACATGAGCACCATTCAAAAATTAAACTTTTAAATAATCAAATTCAGACTCTACTTTTTCTAAAAAATAATACTAAGGTTTACACAGCAGACATCAGAGCTGTCAGGAAGAAAAAAAAATAGCAGATAAACAGTAATTGCTTATAGTTTGATAGCAAATTTAAATATCAATTTTGGATTAATATAAATTTAACCCAAAAATGTTTACTATCACATACTGAAGTTCTTTGCAATATGTGATTTTTCTTCGTACAGTGGGCACATTATTGATAAAACTATAAGCCATAAGTTACTGGTTTATTTTACTATTAAGCAGAAAGGTAAATAAAACATAATGTGGCAATACCAGCAGACGTGATACTTTCTTCCAAGTTACATAACGATTTTATTTGAGAGCCTAACCAAATACAGAGCTCTGAAAATTCAGGTGAAGATAATCCACCCTCTGCAGCCTTTGTAAGGGCTTGTTCTTCTAACAATGGTCCTTTATACCTAGAAAGGAAGACATACAAGTTAAAAAAAAAAAAAAAAAAAAAACCCAAACAAACAAAAAACCCTCCTATACTCTGTGTCAAAGTCTACTGCATGTTTTTGTAAATAAAATTTTATTGGAACACAGCCAATAAATGTATTAATTTACAAACTGGCTATGGCTGTTTCCACACTACAATGGAAGAACTAAGTAGCTGTAACTGAAAATGATGACTATATTGCCTTTTAAAGAAATGGTCTGCTCATTGCTGCTCTATATAATCAACATTTGGCTTTTTTCCTATATTTTAACATGTTACAGTAAAATTATCTACCAATTTTAAGATAAATACCATAGACATCACAAAGTCAAATACAGCATAAAGTCTAACTTTATATTAATTACAACAAAAATAGTGAGAAAAGCAGATACAAATTACAAATTTTAAAAAATTAAAGTTGAAAAGAACCTATTAGATCACTTTAACCTAAACCTTTTATTTTATTTTATATATATATTTTTGAGGCGGGGATAACTCTGTCACCCTGGCTGGAATGCAGCGTCACAATCTCGGCTCACTGTAACCTCCGCCTCCTGGGTTCAAGATATTTGCTTGCCTCAGACACCACAGTAGCTAGGATTACAGGTGCCTGCCACCACACATGGCTAATGTTTGTATGTTTAGTAGGGAGGGGGTTTCACCATGTTGGCCGGGCCGGTCTCCTGAGCTAAAGCGATCCGCCCACCTCAGCCTCCCAAAGTGCTGGGATTACAGGTGTGAGGCACCGTGATTGGCCCTGTTTTTTTTTTTTATAATTTTACTATTTTAAACATTTCTGCAAATTGTATTTCAGAAGAAACTTACATTTTCAAAACACTTTATATACTACATTAACTGAATTAGATGATCAGTCTTCTACTTTTATGACTCTTGCAACTGAGCTTTTGTTAACACTATACACTTACAGATAATATATTTAATGTGTTTTAATCCATTGCAGTTATTATTCTTTTGATACTCAAATTCTGCTATCTCTGGTTTGTAGTAGCCCATTCATGTAGGCCAAAGGAGCCCTTTAGATTATTCCCCCATACTCTCTGAATGCTTTCCTTGCTTTCCACAACATGTTCCTGCCTTCATCTTGGAATCAGACATTTCTCCAAGGAGCCCTGATTCTTTTTAATGGTATTTAGAGTACAAAATCTGGTACCAAAGGTTGGTCACTGTTTCTATGCCTTTTTAAGACACACTCTATCAGGAGTTCATATTGCTATTTCCAACTGGAATTTAGAATTGTAGGGGTTTTACATATTTTATTTTACATTTTCATTTATCTTCTCTCACAATGAAAATTTTTGTTTTAATAACATTTACAAATTCCTAATATATATTAAAATAGGTATAATTACAGATGGCTTCAGAATAGGAAATCCAGTATACTATTAACAACAAAATTACAGTTTAATTTTTTTATATTTACAAGGTATTCCTGTAAGGATATACAGAAAAACAATTCCATTCCATGTGATTAAACCACCTACTTGATATATCAACAGAAATTTATTTCATTTAGCTTTTAATTTTTAGAGATTTGTTGCTTTTGATTTCATTTTTGTCTTATAATTATGTAAAACATTACTATAGTTTCAAAGTCTAACTTAAAAATACAAGGTACATCAGAAAAATCTAGTTTGCAATTTTAATCTTGTATCCTCCACTCTGTTCCCTCCCTTCCCTATAGGTGACCATATTTATTAGTTTGGGGTTGTCCTTCCATCATGTTTTTCAATATAAATATATGCATTTTTGTCTCCTTTTTAAGATAAAAGGTAGCCTGCTATATACTGTTCTAGTCCTTGCTTTAAACACATATATGCTCACATGCACACATATTTACATATAGTAGAGATCAGTAATTAGAGATATTATTTAACCATATTTACAGTTATATACTACCCCACTGTCCAGGTGCACCATATTTTATTTAATCAGCTTCTACTAAAGGGCACTTAGATTGCTTCTAGTGTTTTGTTAATACAGTTTGGCAAATTTTTGTCAGTTTATATCTGGAATAGATTCCTAGAGGTGCGACTGTTGGTTCAAAGGGTAAATAGATAGGTAACTTTGCTAGATACCATTAAATTCTCCTGCAGAGGGGTTGTACCATCAAGGTACTGGAGTACCCATTCCCTCATAATTCACTAAAGTTGTCAAACTTTTGGATTTTTGACCATCTGATAGCTCAGTAAAGTTTTATCTACATTTCTCTTCTGAGCAAGGCACAAGGCATCTTTGCATATACTTAACGACTACTTGCATTTCTTTTTCTTTGAATTATCTGGTTATATCAGATGAAGGATGAGTCCTGGTATTTTCAAATCCTCATTTTGTAGGTAAAGAAACTAAGACTTCATGACATTAGGAAACCTGCCTTATATAGCAGGCCGGACAGAATTCATTTCATCTTTACAGCAATGCTTTAAGGTAGCATTATCCTAACTCTATCAGAAGACAGCACTAAGATTTAAATCCGTATTTAATCCAAAAGCTCCATCGTTCACACAGGTCTTGTTAGACCTCTGTCTACAACTATAAGGAAACTAAGGAAATAACCTGGTCCAGCTGACATAGCCAAGTAAAGGCAGAGCTGAGACTAGAACATTATTTCTGCACCCCCAGCTCAAGAGTGGTTCTTCATGGGGTTAGCCTTCCTCCATGTCTTACAATGTCTCTCAATGAGATTTAATAGTAAACACCTTATTTCCTCCTACTTGCTTTCATTTCTGCAATAAAGTAATACTCATAAACTCTTGAAAAAATTTAAGTAATTCATACTGGTGTAAGTTTTTTAAACTGAAATGCCAATGATTAACACCAACAAATACTGCTCAAATCACAAAAAATACTGAATTTGGAAAAAAAAAATCTAATCTTTAATGCCTTAGCTCATCAGATGAGGTAAAAATAAAAAAAGGAAAAAATAAATGCATTTAACGTACTTGAACATCTAATAACAATCAAAATCACAATAGTAGCTAACATTTATAAACTGTTAATTGTATGTTAGGTCAGTGCTAAATGATTTATACAAATTGCCTCATTTAATTGCCACAATACCCTAAAAGGTAGATACTACTATTAGCTTCATATTTCAGATGAGAAAGTTCAGGAAGATAAAGGTAAATAAATTCTCTGGGATGGCCATAATCATAGCTAACGGTTGTCTGTAACTGAGTCACACAACCTATCTCCATAGTCCCACGCTCTTAACCCTTATTGCTCTGTCACCATCCAGAAATATATCTAATAGTCTTATGCAATAGAAGTGTCTAAAAATATTCTGCTAGATAACTGAATAAGAATATAAAAGTGGCCGGGCGCGGTGGCTCAAGCCTGTAATCCCAGCACTTTGGGAGGCCGAGGCGGGTGGATCACAAGGTCAAGAGATCGAGACCATCCTGGTCAACATGGTGAAACCCCGTCTCTACTACAAATACAAAAATTCAGCTGGGCATGGTGGCGTGTGCCTGTAATCCCAGCTGCTCAGGAGGCTGAGGCAGGAGAATTGCCTGAACCCAGGAGGCGGAGGTTGCGGTGAGCCGAGATCGCGCCATTGCACTCCAGCCTGGGTGGAAAGAGTGAAACTCCGTCTAAAAAAAAAAAAAAAAAAGAATATAAAAGTACTTTTCTGGCAAGAACAGTGCTTCTGAAACTTTTATGTGTATATGAGTCTCCTGAGGGTCTTGTTAAAATAAAGATTCTAATTCAAAAAAAAAAAAAAAAGATTCTAATTCAGTAAAGTTGGAATGTCTGGGATTCTGCATTTCTTCACCCCATGTGATGATGATGCTGCTACTCCACCAATCTCTCTTAAGCAGCTTAGTACTTATTTTTTTACTTTCATTAAAAAACTCTCAATATTTATCATCACTCTTTCTCCTCTTGCAGTACGTGAGAAATTAGAATGGGCATTTAAGAGTCTATTTATGCTACATTTAGCAACAATTTAGTGTTTATCGCATTTATTTCGTACTTAGTATGATTTCCAATGCCATTCTGCCTTTACTTCCTAGTTTGTTCTACATATTCTTAGTTAATCATCAAAGTGCTAGTGTTACTCCAAACACTGGGAACATCTCCCCTAGGCTTAGGCCGTCCCCCATAGCCTTATACCCTGGAACCATAGTTGCTGGTCTAACACTGCTTTAAGCTGGGCGATCCAAATCTTCAGTCCATTAGGGCTGCTGGCAACTCTCCTCAACAATATAGCCAGGGCCTAATTTACTATTTTCTTCAGCCAACAGATAAAATATAAGACCCTTTCTTTTCCCATCATTTACCCAACCTATTGCCTTTGCCTCTCATCCACCTCTCCGTGCTACCCCAGAATTTCCACTATCTTCCATCCACAACATAGTGGATATTTTGCTATACTGTCCATCTCTTCTCAGAAAGATTAACCCTCTCATTTTTACTCTGGATTCTCCATTTTGGACCTAAACTAAGAAGCTCAGAGCTACTGCTGGGAGATCGGAGCCAGGGTACCCAGGGGAGCCCACGCCCAGGCCACCCACCCTCGGTAGAGGCCACCTCGCTTCCCAGCCCAGGGAGGAAAGGAGAGAGGGTATGTGAACAGCTGTGGGAATTGGAGTCTCAGGAGTTGCAGCCAGCCCAAGCCCGGGCCCCCCAGTCCAGCCGAGACCGTGGGTCCACTGGTTCTTCCACCCAGCCAGCCTGTGTCTGCAGATACGATGCCCTGAGTTTGTTATCTGCAGATAGAGGGAAGATGCCCTGGTGCTCACCAAGTAAGGCCTGGTCTCCAAGCCCTCCTTAAAGAAGCCTCATGGATATAACATCTTCAAGGCCCATTTCTGCTATTTTCACACCCAGCACGTTGGCCACTCAAGCACTTCCACTAAGCTGGTGCATATAAGGAGGAAGCCAATACCACTGCTAAGTCGGATCTGCTCCAGTGTCTCCAGTACCAGTTTTATCAGATCCCAGGGACATGACTGCTCC